TCTGAGGAGAAAAAAAAAGGACCGCGACATCTGAAGTAGTACTCCACCCCTCGGATTGTTGAGACGTTTTGTGCGCAGTTTGCCGACGGGGCGGGGGCATTTTGCACTTTGCTAGTGACCACAGAGAAATTTCATGAACTCACAAGGGTTGACATGTTTTGTCATGGTTACTCAATGAGCTTACTCTAGCTCGCTTCGGCTTCTATAGAAATGGAACGTCAGGACACGCAAGCAGAACGAGGAGAACAGTAGGATTTAGCGCATTTTTCAGCTTGGCCGGGCATTTAAAGGCAGTTGGCACGATAATTTGGTACTTTCTCTCAAATGGTAGGTAATGTAATGCTACATAGTGGAATAATGGCGAAAAAACGAAGTGAAACTGTCAAAACCTGAAAAAAACCTTTTTCCCCCAAGACTCAGAAAGTAATTTTGGATGATTTCCCCGTTGGCATGCTGCCAGTAACCGCTACAGTATGTGCGGCTACATGTATCCATGCAGCATCGCCTCCTCCTCATATTATACTTCACAAATGAAACGATACGAGCATTAGCATCGGTCGTGGGAGCGAGCGTGGTGGGCGTCCGGGTCGGTATGCTGCAGCTTGACAGGGAGTTATAAGCGTATCTTCCTTGGGAAAGGCCCTATGCAGAGCTTGCGAGGGGCACCGAATTCAGTCCTGCTAGGCGTATCAGTCCTACGCGTCTTGAGGTTTATCGTGCCACTTACTTTCAAAAGCAAGTCCCGGGACTGCGTAGTGTGGATTGTGACGCTCAGTTACAAACCTACGGTTGCCAACACTCAGGGGAAAAAATAGCCGAAACAATAGACCTTCTAAATTAGGAGTCCTGGCACCCTCACTGTACGAGTTCTTCGGACCTGCTCGTTTTATCCAGTAAAGGGATACAACTAAGGGCGGTACAATCAAGGAGATGTCAGAACTGTCACTTATGAGAGCTGCAGGGTTCGCTTCTTACTGTGAAACTGCGAAAATGGGGCAAAATTTGGGTACTTCCTAGCGAACAGACCGCATCTGATCATGGCCCTTTTATCGCTACCAGGGCTGAAATAAAGAACCGCCAGTGTGATAAAGCTTTGAATAGTAGAAAACATAGCAATCAGTCGGACCGGTTTCAGGAGGGGCAGGAAAACCCCGCCTCTGGTGAAATGAGCAGTGATTTGTCCCGTCTCACAAGGAGAAAGGGGCCGTCCAAGTCATGAAGCGCCTTGTAAGTATGGTTTGTTGCAAGCTCAAGGAATTGTAGGAGATCATACGGTGCTTATCGAGCGCATAATTTTCTTGCTCTTCTCTAGCAATTTCTAGGAATGCTTAGAAAGGGCAAAATGTTCGAGTGTTCGAACCTGCATGGCGTCGAAACTTCCCTATCCTTATTACACTGTGATAATATGTCTTAAACTATTGCCTGAATAAATTTTGTCCAAAGACACCTCAACAACCCGACCACAGACAAATTGTCTGGTCCCTTTGTCTAATTGTAAGAAACGAGAACCCTTCCAGTCAGCGATCTCGCAGTTCAGAAAAAGAACATTTCTATTCACATTGACACCAGAAACCAGAAAAGTGGACGTCAGTTTCGTGGTCCACGTATACCCTCTACTAGGACACAAAGGGTCTTGGAAAGGCGGTTCGTTACCCGAGTGGCTTTACTTATTAGCGAAGTCGCCCCAAAGATCAGCCCCACAAACTGTTCACTCAGCCGAACATCTGGCCTTCATACTATACTCTGCACGGAACCTCATGAAGGTTGCTGTAAAGTTTACGCAGTCCAGATGTTACATCCGTAGTGGCAACTGGCCCCTTCACGTGCTGCAGTGTTGAACAATGAGTGGGCGGTGTTAATGAATGTGCTGATCTCTGGAGAATCGAATGATCCAGGATCCCTGAAAATTCTGAAACCTACTTCTGTTATAGATGACAAAGTCGAGGGTACGACGATGTGTTCGACAGTTCAACATTGCCATGACATTTCAATGTCGTTCAGTGAGTAAGGAAACTTGTGAAGAGATTCGACAACAGTATGGTAAGAGAACTTTCTTGTGGCACTATTTTTATGCTCTACTTGCCCAAGCGCTCTTGTTATTGACCGAGTCACTTTCCTCTGGTTTAGAATTCCGGCTTCACCTGGTGCTTTTATACTCGAGATCCCTGAGATCGGTTAGGCGTGGCCGCATGTTTCAACTTAACGTGGAGGTGTCTATGCTTCTGATGAGATATTTTCACCTTGATACAATTGTTATCGTGTCTGAGCTCAACACCGAACAAGATGACAGTTGTCGCAGACATTAATATTCCACGAGTAACCACTTCCGTGCCATGTTATAATGCCACGCCTACTCTGGCTGAGGGATAAGGAGTGTACCCAGTCGCTTACGCTTGGATATCTGATGAATCGTCGGGAGAATCCCACCAGGGGTCGAACTCTAGTCGTTAGATGGGGGTGGGCAAGTAAGGGAAGGGGCGTTATGTTTAGCTGAGATGATCTCATCTGGCTCTGAGAGGAGTTCTCTTAGAGTGATCATATTTTTTACTGGATGCTAACTTTGTTCGATAGTTGATTATAGAGAGTAACTGGTGGCGATCTCACCCCTCCCACCCCACCTCCCCAGCCGACGCCAGTGTTCAGGGGAAAAGTTTGGTGGGAGCTGGCAGAATTTGAGAAGGTGGTAGGCAAGATGGAGAAAGGGTCGCACCGAGAGTAAGGGATTCCGGGTAAGTTCTGCGCCCTGCCTGCAGCGCGGCTGAAAAGTGTTGATTTAGCTACATGTCGACAAGTTACGCATTTAAGTACAGAATCTAAAAGTTTTCGATAGAATACTAGTTGATCGCGATCATTCGGGGAGCAGGAGACGGTTAAGTTTCAATGCAGGACGCGAAACAAGGTGGTACACTAGATGCATGGAAGAGAGGACAGAAAACGCCGAGCAATAGAGTCCAACGACATCATCATGAGGACATCGGCGATTTGGGCCAGAATGGGCCTCATGGGCCCAGATCGGGAGCTTGCAGCCCTTTCCCTGCACACTTTCGAGCTGCGAAAAGAGCATTACGTTGGCCGTTGTAGACCCAGGTTACCTTCTTGGCTAGGGAAGTGGACAAAGTGCTACACGCGGAGTGTGCTCCTAATTCATAGATGGAATCCGTTTCTTGAATGCTTTTACAAGCCAACTCTGTCTCCAGTTGCAGAGGCTGTAGCCGTTGTGCTATCGGTGCATGAAGTTGTTCTTCTTTTCACTTTGCTCAGAAGTCCTTAGCCTGCTGAATCTTATTTGTTTAATCCAACGATTACTGTTCCAGTCAGTCTGCGGTCTTTCCACATCTGTTTTTGACGGAGAAAAAAAAATCTCTTTTTCACAAGTAAACCACAACAAGACCTCTTCCAGAGCTTGAGCCACCACTTGAACCGGAGGAACGAGAACGCCTCATTGAACGGAAATGCTGTGAGCGTCGCTGCTCTATTCAAGTACTGCGATCAATTTGCTGCCTGATCTAAACCATAGTTGATTATGAGCAGCACTTTTGCTTTTGTTGTTTCTTCCACTTGTGTCCACACCAACTTGTGGTATCAAGTTTGTGGTTGAATGATGATAAAAGTGTTAATATAATTTTTAAGCAGATACAGGAAGCAAACACAATGTCTTCTGGAGATCAGTGTACCATTACTAACGTTGAGCCGATTACTATCCTCTATTACTCGTCCGACTAAATTTCCCCTTCACAGCTTATGTGGGTCGCTTCTAGAATGGGACCTGTGGATGTACAGAAGTGGAAACAGATTGCTGAGGTTTCAAGTATTACCATACGTTTTCATTGAATTTTCCATCTCATGAATATCTCAAACGGCTACATGACGGGTTTGAGGAACAGGTCTCGTTTACCTAGGAAAATGCAAGGGATGCGTAGGATGTGTAGCGTGGCTCACCACCAACAGCCCTGTAAGGTAATGACGCTAAAGCTCCAAGTTACTCGAGTGACAACTCCCCGTTTGCGGTGTACCCGCCCCCACTTCGCCGTTTCAATCCACAAAAACTAAGCTACCGGAAGGGAAGCATGAGGTGGATGCCACCCTGTCGCTTATGGGGTCATAGGACGTTTATAGGAATCAGCTAAGTAGTTGAGGACATGCGCATTTTTTTTGGTTATGCACTTATAAATGCTTGGCCATAAGCCCAATATCGCAAACGTGCCCCTTAGGTTCAAAGCACGGCAGACTGCTCACTTATAGAGAAGAAAATTCCACTAAAATTGCAGTCGACTGGAAGAGTAACTCCCACGGACGTGACTGGAAACGCGGCGGTGTAGGCAGTTGCCCATGCAGAAAAAGTGGGTGAGGCTAAAAAGTGTATCTTAAATTTTATTGCCACAATTTGCACCCCTTCACATGCTTTCTTCAATTACAGTCCTAATGCGGATAGTGCGGGTGTGTTAGAGGGACGTGGGTTGGGTGGCCCAGCCGTTCCCCGCTTACTATGGGAAACAAGCAAAAGGAGACAATGGATGAAAAACGGGCTGACGCGCTCCAATCCCAGCCCCCTGACGCCCATTATCTCAGCAGAACAAGATTGAGTGCCTAAGACCGTACCTTTGGCAACTTCAGCGCTCATAACCCAGTCCATGTAAACTACCCCTCTTCCCCTATTCGACATGGCCTTCTTTTCAAATGCACAAGAGATCAAAATGCGCCTATAACTCAGTCCGCGGACACTCCCCTGCCCACGTACACGGTTGTACACGTTTTCTCTAAAGGACTCTTAGGTTAGGAAGCTTGTAGAATCGACTGATTCTATCGATCAAGCCACAAGTTAGGAATAACTATTCTCTCGTACATTCTCGTTTCTCTTGCCTCTGCACCAATTTTTATAGAGAGCCTTCAGTAGGGGGGCAAGACTTAGTAAGAAAGAAACAGTATAAGCTGCATAACATTTATATGAATGTACTGCATTGTGTTTACAAAATTATTGTCAGGTCTCGCTGGTGTTCAGGCTACTTCAACTTCTTCACCAGCTGCAGCAGGCTCCTCAGCTGAAAAAAAACTCATGAAGATAAGAATGCCATATCACTTCCACGTAATCTAATTTCAATTTCAATTTCAAATCACTCACCGGCTGCTGGCTCCTCATCTTCCGAAGTCCTTTTCGGGCAACTGCAATGGAATTGGGGCTACCTCCGTGGACGAGCAGCCTCACCTTCAGCCTTAACCTGTTCACGTATTTTGGCGGCTCAAGGTTTTTGCTAGAATTGCAAAATGAGCGGTTTCAGTAAGTAGTGCTGTAACTTCGGAGCGACTCAACATACCGAATTTGTTCCAGCTCCCTCGTTTTCTTGCGTCCCCAATCGCTTGGTGGCGGGCAGTTCCACGGGGCGATGGTGGTGGCTTCGGTTACAACCGGCTTCTCGAACATAATGCGGCGATCGACGTATGATCTACAGCTTCTATCTTTCAATTTAGGAAAGTAGCAAATCAAAAATTAAGCATTGTAGAACTTTTAGATGTCTTGTAGATAAAAACAACCCTCACCGTCTATCAGTTTGACGATCGAATTTCGAGGCGGTGGTGACCTTTGGTGGTGTTGAGATGAGGCAGCTTCTTCAGGATCGAGTCCCTTCTGAAGGGCTTGTTGCGAGCTGCCTGTCGCTTGAGTTCGTGGGCAATTCCTTCATCTAAACGTATCGCATAAAATCCTGATTTCAAAACTGGATTCATTTTCAAGTTGTGAAACCGATTTCCATTCACTATTCACATACGTCGTACTCCTGGCGTTCCTTGGCGCTTTTCCAAATCGTACTTGTCACCTTCGAGCTTGGCGATTCTTTCGTGCAGGGCTTTAATTCGAGCCTTCAGGTCGTTAGGTAGCAGTGCGGAGATATCCACAGCACGGCAAACACTAGCGATAAATGCGCGTTTGGCCTTCTTCCACCTGTTCCTTGCTAAGACCGTCCTTCTTCTTTACCTAAAGGTATTTTTATGAGTAAATATGTCCGGACAGCAAGACAGGCCCCAAAGCCGTGGTAAAATAGGCTAGTAGTACGTCATTATACACTTACCTGAAGCAAGGTTACCAAACTGAGCTGCCTTATCGCTTCTTTCGACGGTGAAGTTTTGCCGGTTCCGGCAGAGCATGGTGACCAGCGAATGAGCCAGCATCATCTGCCTGACGACGCAGTCTCTCGTCATTCTTGCGATTCTTTTCCGCTTCAGATTTAGCCTTGCGCTCTTCCTGCAATTCAACAATAGTATTGGGAAAACCGGTATCTATAAGGCTGCATCACTATGTATTGTCATCACTCCAGTAGCCCATCAAACAGTATACGTAACACCCAAAACTCTACTGATAAGCAATCAGTCGAGAGGTCAGCCTACCTCTTCCTTACGTCTGCGCTCTTCAGTCCTGACGACGGCGTTCAGCGAACTGGGCGCTCGTCTTCTTCACGTTCTGCACGACGTCTCTCCTGCTTCTCTTTAAGTTCACGGAGCTCCTGCTCCATCTTTTCCTTCTCAGCAATACGGACGCTGCTCGTAGTCAAGGATCTTGAGCGCTTCTCCTTTCATGACGTTCTTCGCTGTCGCCGCCTGTTAAGTACTGTCCAATCAAGGGATTTTGATGGCAATTTTGTATGAATGGCTGGACTTGCTTGGGCTCGTTTCATTCCGTCAAGGTGATCTAAGAAGAACTAGAACATAGAACCAAAGCAAAGCTGGAGCCCTACCAATCAATTGGAGAGCCAACATAGGGTACTCCATATCCCAGCGATGAAAAGGGCGTGGCAATGTGCTTCTCGTGAACATGGGCAAGTACCTTTCTTTGTGAGTTAATCCGTTCCGAGACGACTGTCATCCTATTTCTGCTAAGCGAAGACATGACTACAATTTTCTTAAACAGCATAAACATATCTTACAAAACGCGCAGCCAGCCGCCTTGCCCAAGTGAAGTATATGCGCACACGCTTCCCATCTCCGAGATATGGAGGTACAAGTTTGAGTTGCGAAATATCTAGACATAGGCAAAGTGACCCAGCCTTGAATTCGAAGCAGTTCCTGGCTGTACTTAGATGAATTCTAAAGGACCCTATTTGAAAGGGTTCTTCAAAAAAGATTGCACAAGGTCACGGTTTATCCCTAGAATGAGCTCAAAACCTCACCAGCATAGCAGCTTCAGCCTCGTCATTTCCGCTACATTGGTTTTCTCTTCGCTGGTGGTGGAGCACGAGGTTTGGCCTGAAAATATTAGAGCTGTCCACAAAAAATGAATTGACGGCATATCCTTTTTCTAATGAGCCCTCCTAAGATCACAAGCACCTTACTTCTCCTCAACCGGCGCTTCCTCTGTTTAGATGCCTCTTCAGCTCTGAAATTTGAATAATTTTTCTTAAATTTGGTCCGTGATTTTACTGAAACTCACGGATTCTTCTTCTGCGGCGGCCTCGGCCTCATCTTCGTACCTCCTCCTCCTCCTCCTTTCAGTGCTGTAAAGGATAAGGATATTATGAAATCGTTGGTAACACTGAAATCACATCCTACAACTAGTTATTCATAGAGGCCTAAACAGAAAGTACTCACTACACTTCCTCCTCTTCGGACATATCGGCAGCTGCAAGTAAAATTGTTATTAAAGCATAACTACTAAGAAATATTCACAGGAGGCAACATAAGGCTGAGGGAGGGTAAATGAGGAAAAGAAAGAGCCAGAGGAGAGCTAAATGTGCAGCGTAGCTCCAGCCAGCCACGATGCCAGCATATGTCAGAATCAGCGATCGCATCGGAAGACGCGATTGAGGGAGGGGGCCCCGAAGTCTCGTAAAGAACATTGTAAACTTTCTCGGTCAACCCCGCGTAGGCGCCGCCGTGATACAAAAGCAAAACGCGAGCACATTACACCAGAACGATTCTGCTCGTCCACCACAATATTTAGCTTTTTCATTCGGCGATTGTGCAGGCTAGCCGTCCAGTCAGCCTTTGCAGAACAGGGCCCAAGCCTCAAGTTGAGGAAGATCGATCCGTTGGTACAGTGCCACCTACCCTAAAGCTGATGCCAGTAACATCCCTTCGTGCTACTGAATAATAAAGAGAATTGGGTATTAACTAAATCTCTGAGGATCTAGTGTAGTTGCGTTTTTCTTGTCAGGTTTTTGGCATTGGAAGCGTCATTACTCATATTGTCTCATGGTATTGGTTAAGAACTCTCAAGTTGTCATTTCCTCAGAATACAACTATTTTTTCTGAGAAAAAGGGCGATTCGCAACCTATTTAAGCTTCACACCGAAAGGTACTAATATAGTTTCGGAGAAGGTCCCGCCCAAAAAAACTAACGATGAAAAATTCTTGAGTGCTCGACTTTTTAACCTTTCAGTGGTTACAACTTCAGTAATACGTCACCCAGGAGAAACTGAAAATCGGTGGTGGGAAGATGAGATTTTCCCTTCGAAATGTTTCAAACTCGTTAATGAAAGTGCACTACATTGAAAGAAAAATCCGCCCTCGGGGTTTTTTTCCGGCAAGCAAACTATCCGTTGTGTGCGTGCTACCGCTCTTGAAGGCTAGTTGCAAGATAAACCCCCAGGAAGTTCGAATTAATGCGCCAAGCAAGACAGAATTGCGCGCTCCTGACCAAGCGCTCCATGGCGCATTTTCCAAGAAAGGTACCCTCATAGCGCCCTATCAAGCTGTAACATACCGATCTGGACGCTCACCGCGCGCGCCCGTCCATAACTGTCCGATCTGCTGATGCTCGAAGCGCTTCATTTGCGAAGTAAAATATGAAGCGAAGGGATGGCTATGAAGCGGCTGCGGTGCTGCTTGGATACATGGGCACATGCATGTTGCCCTGTCTACCGTAGCGGTTATCGGCACAATGCCAGCGACGAACTCGTCCAAAACCGCTCTCTGAGTCGTGTAGAATAGAACCAAAGCTTTTGCTAGTTTTAGACGGTTTCTCTCCACTTTTTCGCGACTTCGCAACAATTTCTCATTAAGGAGCACCCCTGCCAGCATTTTGGCACGAGTACCAAGCTATTATGCTATGCCTTTAGGAGGGCATATCTTCAAGCACAAATGATTATTGAGGAACAGGCGAGAACTGTTGAAGACCACGAAGTCCGATCTTTTGAGTTTTATTAAACTCGTAATACAATTTGAATTTTATCTGGGAGGTGGGAAGCATAAAAAAAATGAATTCTCTGAACCGTAGTCCGTACTACAACTTCATTGGCTCTGTTTTAAGTTTCTGTCTCGCACTCACCTCGTCACAGCTTGTTGACTACTGCCTCCTCCAAACACGACCTCCACTTTTCTTTATCAGCGAGCCAAATACGATCCCACCGTTGAGGACTGCTCAACGGATGCTTGACCTTGTAGACAACACAATAAGTGTTAGTAATCTTTATATTTAAACAAACGACGTAAAACATTATTAAACATGCGCAACATTAATAGATTATGCCCGGACACATTACATTTATAACGTGTTATCACGTATTATCACAGATCTCACCGAGTATTGCACAGGTATCAGTCTAGGAGAACAGATGTCTATGGGAGGATTGTTTGGTTATACGATTCCACCCACGGCTCATTCAAGAGGGCGTTTATGATCTAATAGGATTTCTTCGGTTTTGACTCGTCTTGTTGAGCAGTACATTGCGGTACATTGTCTGGCCAGTCACAGACGGACAGCTTCGGGTTAAACACTGTCCCACTTGGACAGCGCATCGGCTCCAGACGATCCCACACACATCGATAGAACTGCTGACAGTCCGACTCATTTGCTACGAAGTCACCATGCTTCGCTCCATGACAACCACGTTCCACTGAAACAGGTAACCAATGTGGAATCCAATATCGATTGGCAGTTTCAATGTCCAGTTCCGAAAGACATATCGGCACAAAGGACCAACCAGTACTCTCATCCGCTGCCTGTCGACATTCTGGGACTGCATCCCTGTAGTCGCATTTGGAGGTCAATTCGTTAAATACAAGTCCTGACGAGCAGGATGGGTATTCGAACACATCACCACCGAAGCACTGGAAAGACAAATATGACCGTAAAGTGACGAAAATCAAACGTCCACATTACCGCAAAGGCACTGCAAATGTTCTCAGCACGGTAGGGAGTACGCCTACCAATTCGCCACAACGTGGACATGTTGCAATCATTGGCCACAGGCAAACGAGTTGTGTGAAAACCGAACAAATATGACCCTGCCCCGCCCCCCTTCCCAATTTCCCCCTTCTCTACGACTCCGCCAACAACAAACTCTAACAAAAGTTTTGCTGTCGAGCGTGAATGGTGTAGCTATAAAGAGCATCGGGATAGGTCCGTACGGTACCGGAATCATCCAATTCCCTACCCTTTCCCGTCAGAAGGGTGGAAGTCCGTTCTGTTCGACGTTGAGGGGCATTTGCTCTTCACAAGTTCCTTCTGTCTGTGTGTTCATGTTAACTACCTCAAATCCTTGACATACGGTTAGGGGTTGGCCGCGCACATGAATTGAACGTGGCGATAGCCAAGGTTTTCGTGAGATATTTTTATTTCGAGATAGCTGAATCACGTTCTTGGCCAACACAGAATAAGATGACAGGTTACTCAAAATGAAATATCCTGAGAGTCCTATGCCATTTTCAAATGCTACGCCCCACTCTGTCTTAGGGATGAAGAATGTGACAGGTCTCCATTTTATTGGGACGTCTACCATCCGTCGAAGCTGCAGATTTGTGCCTCGAAATCCCTAAGATGGGTAGGCGTGGCTGCGTACCTTAGTTAAACGTGGCATTGACTGTGTTCTTGTGAGATATTTCCATTCAACACAATTGTGATCATGTCCCTGTCCAACACTGAACAAGATGACCCTTGTCTCGGACTAAAATATCCTACGTTAGCCTATTATATGCCATGTTCAAATTGCGACGGCCTACTCCGTCTCAGGGATACGGAGTGTACAAGTAAGCTCCTTCAGATTACAAGAACCTGAGCGGGCATCGCCGAGTACCATTTGGTACCCCCTCCCAGCGAAAGCGCGGTGCGAGAGTGGAGGTATATAGCGCACACGGAACGGGGGAAAACTACAAAATGAACGTCTCTTTCGTAGCGCGAAAACACTTTCGGGACCCGTTTCCCGCGACCGACCAGCATGCGATTCCTCATAGGGATTCTGCCAGTGAAGAGCTTCCCAGGACAGAAAAAATCCAACGAAATGTTTTCAGATGGCTATTCGAGACCCCCCCCCCCCGCCATCTTAACACCCCCTCCGTTGTGTTTTTTCACAACGGGTGCTGTGCCCTGGTTGCACTACAATTTCAGTACAAAAAACGACAACTGCGACTCACCTGAAGAATTGCAGCGCAATCCGTCGGATTCCTGTACAAACCATCCGTGCGTGTCCTACAGAACATCGAAGGATCATTGCTTGACGTGGAAGTATACGGTTGCGGAGATCGTTGTGGAGCAGTATGACATTCAGGAGCGTTGATACGCAATACGCAAGCACCAACGGCCGCTGAGAACACTTCGGCTGTGGTTGCGCACGGCTCAACAATGGCTTCGCCGCCCATGCATCTGATGTATGACGATCGGCATCTGCCCATTGGTTTCATCGCTCCTTCAAGGCTGTTACGACAGCGATCATCTTTTCGAGTAACATATTTAGAAGTATCCTTTGCCACCTGAGCAGCGGCTTGCGGCGGTGCAAATGTAACCTGAAACAAAAGTATGGCCACACCCCTGGCAGGGGTCAGATTTACTTTGAACTCACCTTGCTGAGTATATCTTTCAGGTGTTCTTGACCGCATCGCTCTGCAGGTACGCAGGTGCTCAAATGTGAATCGAACAGAAGACCGACCTTACACTCTTCACGTTTCAGCACACCATGTTCAGTGCACATACCGTATACTCGAGAACAGTAGTCAAGAGCAAAGGCGGGACGTTCGTTGTCGTAAACACAGCTAGGTGGCTAAAACGGAAATCGCCGATTGAGCACATTGGGAGCCCACAGAAATGGCTGTAAAGACTACCGCTGTAGTTGTAACTGCTGCTGTACTGGTAGCAGTTGGTGCCACAGTGGGCTCTGCTGCATCGTAACCTTTAGGAGTTGCATCTTCACCCTTGAACTGTTCACACTCTGGCACGAATTCACGGAAGTCGCATGAGACCGTTGCCGGGTTGAATACCAGCGGCTTTGCGCAGTCGAATTCTGTCAAGTAGAGCAGTGAAGATCTCAAAGGCAGTGGGTGGAACTGCTGTAGGCGGGCGGTTATTGCCATTGTCATTGGTGGAAGGGCTGCGAGAGGGGGTTCGGTCACAGCCCAGTCAAGCATTCCACCTAACGTAAGCGACAACCGCCCGCCCACAGCGAAGTGGTCCACTCCTTCATACAGTGCAGGTTAGAATGCACGCTTACCATTTTGAATTCCATTCGAGCATATCAGGAACTTTGACATGCAACGGCCCACGGGCTGTGGATCTTGTGGGCAGGAATCATCGTGCGAACTCGGTGTAGTTGTCCGTACAACAACGGGCTGCGGTTGATATGCAGCAGGCTCTGGAAGCAACACTTGATCTCTTTAGGCCCAGTAACCGGTATAACCAACCCACCATCAAGTGAACCTCCACACGCTGCAACCTTTTCACGGAAATCACAAATACCACGCGTATGGTCGAACCATGTTCCTAATGGGCAGTTCATCGAAGCCTGTACACGTCGGTCATGGCAAACCACAAACGATGCTGTGCATCCCTCGCTATGAGGTCCGTCGGACAGGTAGGCACAGAAATCTGAATGAACGTGCAAACTGCAACACAATATCACAAGTATTACAAATTATGACTGACCGGGAGCCTCCTGCGCAGGCGCTTGCGTAGTTGGCAATGAAATCGGCTCGCCAGGGTAGGTTTTGTCAGTCGGGTGGTTCTGAGAGTGGTCTGGACGTGTATGATCCAACTGCACTTCACTACATCCCACTACGGCTGCTGGATAATCACAGAGCTGCTTTGTTTGGTCGAACACCAACCCCTGAAATTGCGAATCATATGGGATCAGTAGTCGGAATTTCTCAGTATACTCCTGTTCCTCGCAGATGAAGGGACGTGCCAGCGCGATCGCGTTTGGCGCCGCGCCAACCCTTTTTTTCCTCTTCAAGCAAGCGACGAACTGCATCATATTAGTTGTTATCGTTCTGACTTGGTTTTTTTCAAGAGTGGTTGTCATATGCGCTCCAATAACTGGTGGAGAATGGGTTTAGCGCGCGCCAACTGCAGTCGCGCGGACACGCCCCGTCATTAGCACAGAACCAGACTGCTTGAGAAATCATACCGCTGGACATTTCATCGGGTAAGCGATACCATGCACACACTTCATGAAGTTTCCATTGCAATCCACTGCGTAATCGCTGCCCTCTAAACAACCTGACTGCCTGGACTGATGTACGATCTCAGGAGCAGGTTTCGGTGCCGGCATAGGTGGATAAATCACTAGTGGTCGCTTTGTAGTTGTGGCAATTGGCACAGCATGGACAGGAACTGACGGTACTTTGACCGGCTTCGGCGGAGGAGCAGGAGTGTGTCGCAGCGGTGCAGGAGTAGTCGTTGGCACAAATACGGCTATAGATTCTTAAACCACAAAATTTATTTTACAAAGGCTCATGGCTCCGAGGAAATATTACCCTGGGCAGGAGGTGGAGGAGGAGGCACTACTTGTTCTGGCAGACCACAAGTTGCAGATGCCACACATTTGCTGGTGTTAGTGTCGAATAGGTCGCCAACAGGACATGCAGCCATCTGAATTTATCGTTGTAGTACCCTGATTTTCCAAAGCAAAACTGCTTTTCAACGCACCACTCCATCAGCAACCGCTTTACAGAAGATAAAGTCTTGACGACAAAACCCAATCGAAATCAGTCCTGGTGACTGGGAGCTGGTACAGGTGGTGGAAAAGTTCGCACTATTCGTATAACTACGTCGTTTACGAGTCACCTCGCTGTCTCCTGAGCCCGAGCCCTGAAAAGCAAGGATATGGGACGGAAGAAAAGAGAAAGCCATGACTAAGTCGTAACCTCAATGTCTGGGCTAGACGTTTCAGTAACTGGAGTGGTAGTATCTACAGGCGACTGACTGGTTGCTTCCTCTACCGTACTGTTCCCGAGCTCGGATTCAGGCAACGTCTTCTGATCATGATCATGCTCGTCAGTGGTATGTGCATTCTCCAGCGGCATGTCATCGTGAGGAGGCTGTAAAAAACGAAAATAAGCCTAAAAATCACTCGAGAAATATTATTCCCCCACTAACCTCGGTACTCGTGGACTCCTCCACTTTGTTATGATCGACCACTTGGGGAACGTCGACTCCCTTTGGCTCATATAACTCATCGGAGTGATCACGACGATCTTTCAAACGTTTGTGTAGGAACGGCAAAAACACTTGATCTATACCAGGAAGCAGCCACGGGTTGACGATACCGTCAAAGACGTCCCTTACGTGAGGCCGGGAACCGCCAGCTAGAACCGATCGGCTTTGGAAGTTGATTAGGCCGTGGTTCACTTTATCTCGTCCATGCATTGCATCTCGGAATCCCATAGGTGAAGCAGATGGGTAGAACATTCCAAATGGATTGTTCATAGCGTAGACGTAAGAAGGAGTCTGCGCCGTGTACTGCTGAGCTGGTGCTGCTGGCGCTGGGTAATTGCCAGTAGGAGCAGAATAAACTTCAGACGATGTATGAACTGCTTCAGTTGACACAACTGCCGTTTCAGTTGTGGTCGCCACCTGAAAAAAAATAAATTGGTTGTATTGCTGCCATAGTTCGAGAGACGGGCGATTCTGTCGTGAAGCCGCAACGCTCACGTCGCAAGCGGCGAGTCGCGCGACAGCGTCAATTTGCTTTACCGTATCCACAGTAATTGGTTTTGGAAGGAGGGATTTACTCTTGTTCTCGGCGTGCTCTTTAGAGTAGTGATAGTATCTTTAATTTAAACCTTTTGGACGAGTCATCGGAAAACTAATTTATAAGCAACGGCCGCGACGTCGCAGGCCACGCCCACCGCCGCGGCAAGCCACGATAGAATCGCTCCATTCGCCCATAATTCTGCCTCTCACTTCATCAGAGCTGGTGGATCCAGATGCTGGCTGTGTCCTGCATTCCGGAAGATCATACACGCACAGAGAGAAGGTCTCGTCGAATAGTGACTGGCCTGGACATTGTGCAGACTCCAACCTTCCATTCTTACACCGCCAGAATTTTGAAGAACAGCGACCCAGCGCGACGCTAGTTACGCATTCGGGCTGGAAGAAAAAACACTAAATCGCGCACAATATAGATGGAATGGCTGCTCACCTCCTCTCGAGCTGCGCCAGACGAAGGCGGCGGACGAATATGAATGGCGCTGGACTGTGCGGACGAACTGACAGCTTTGGTTACGTCCATTGTAGAACTGCCTACACCAACGCCAGAGCAGTCGTAATCACAAAGTCCTGAAAGAGTATTTGAGCTGTTACCCTGACTGAAGAACGGTTGGACGGTTCCCTGACTTAAAGGCAGTAGGCACAGTGGGTGGGGGCGGGTGGTTACTGCCAATGAGATTGGTGGGAGGGCTGGGTGGAGTGTGGCCCAAACCCCTTAACCAATGACGCTGGCGATGATCGCCCACCCCAGCAATCGTTCCGACTGCCTCTGATCACCACATCACCATTACCTTTCGCCTCATTGTACACCAATCCATTCGGACAGCCTCGAACATACGCTCGACCATCACTGCACATCACGAACCTTCCGACACAGCCACCCAAAGAATATTTTCCATTCGCACGAGTGGAACAATCGAAGTCTGAATCAGAGGGGTAAGCAACGCAGAACCGCTTTAGAGGCACGCCCCGCGTTCCTTCCCTCCGTTCCCTTGCTCAGAGACCTTACTTAGACGAGGTAGTCGTGCTGCAAGGGTGGAGGATGTACTTTTTTTTACAACTCCAGAGCACATTAAGAAAGAGCCGCCCGCTAGACGCGCCTGCTGACTACAACGACGCCCAACTTCCATTCCTAACTGCTACTTAATGGTGCGGGATAACGAGGAAGATCTGGCATCAACAAGTGAAAACTCATTCGATCACGCCCTTACATAGGAGACGGACAAGGCAATCGTAATTTGTCGCTTTTGCCGCGTGGGCATGGTGCGGCGATGCGCGTCTCTGAGTTATTCGCCATCTTGTTATTGTTATTTGAGTCATATAACTGACCATTTTTGAACGCAGGGCGTACCTTTGATGTACAACTGCGACAAACCGTCAACTATGGTCACCCTGGCAGAGTCGCTAGCTGGACGAGCAGGAGATGCTGGAGACTGCACTCTTGTGGAGTCACTAGCTGATTGAACCGTCGAAGCTGTCGTGTATGTCGCTTTTGCTTGTTCTCCTTGAACTGGCGAAGGAGCTAGGTGCTTGCTTGGCTCGCTCTGCGGAGCAACATTCCCACATTCCGAAGCCCACTCGCATCTGAAATTGTGCCACTTGGGAAGAGTACCTTTACCCGGAGCACAAGAAACAAACCTTCTTGATGTAAACGAGTACAGCAAGCCTTCAGGACAAGTTGTTGAATAGAGAGCTCCGTTCACACAAAACGAGAACGACGGTCGGCAGTCAGTTGTGTTCAGTGGCCCATCACTCTTGCCTGCGCAGAGATCTTCTGAAAAAAAATGATTTTTCAAAGTTTTTAATGAGTTGTACGGGAAAAAGGCTCCATACTTCCAACAGTAGAATGCTGGTACTGCACCGAAGCTGACGTCGGTCGTGAAGAGCTCTTGGACGATGTGACAGTTTTTTGCACTGTTGATGAAACCGCGGCATTACTCTCTTTTACGTATGAGGTAACGCTGCTACCTGACACCGTGGAGGTAACGCTGCTACCAGATACCATTCCACACGCTTCAGGATAATCACACCTGTAATTACCAGTTGACGACAACTGACAACTAGTTGAATAAAAAGAGATGTTATTGCTCACATCTTGGCTGTCACCGAATAGACAAGGCCTGCTGGACACTTCGTGACGAAGGCAACATCACTCATGCAGGTCGTAAACTTTGGCTGACAATCGGAGTCGGTAATGACACCGTCAGGTCGGCCTTTGCAGGATTCATCTTGAAAGTAGAAGATGGCTCAACAAAACTACACCAACTAACCACCATATCTCGCACGCAGTAAGGGCGTGGCTGCGAACAACTTCTGATTATGAATGTGGACTGGAAGGCGCTATCTATAGGATATTTCTAGCTGACACAACTGTCCCTTTGTCTTGTACTTCAAAAAGACCTGAACGCAACTCTTCCAAAACAGCAACATCCCACCAGAAGAGCTGCCGCCACGTTCAAGTGACCGTATGCGACTACTCCCCCGCCCTCCGCCCGCCCACGTCTCATCTACGGGAGAGTGCACATAAAATGTGAGCGCAGTCTTATCCGCTGGGATTGCCGGGGCGTGTCAAACGGGGGTTGGCGCAGCGCCACCCAGTTTTTTTCGCCAAGGCTGTTTCATATCGCCTTTATCGGTTGTTTTCCACCGATTCTTGCCACTTACCCACTACAACAACCGGTGAAAAGTAGGCTGGCAACGGGCCAAACCCAGCTTCATTGACACGCCCTGTCATCCAAAATGTTTGGAAGATTGTTCCTTTTCCATTAAAGCAATGACAGTCCCTTCGAAAAAATCGGCAAATGCCCCATTTAGTATAGAACCTTCAACAGTAAATGACTGTACCTTTATCTATTACAGTGCTTGGAACAGGTCGAGCCTCAGTACTCGCAGACTCCTCTCCTCGTCTGCAGTTTTCTGGATAATCACAGTATACCTTCTCCATATTGAACACCAAACCGGCAGGACATTTGCCAACGAACTTTCTCCGCCCACGCAATTGACGTACTCAGCAGCGCATGGTTTAGAAGAATACCCGTCAGTCTCGCAATTCTGTAGAAGGACCGTTTCAAGAACATTACAAAAATGACTTTGTCCTTAGCCAGACCACGGAGTCCCACCTGATGAATTTTTTCCCTTCTCGTCCGCCACTGGTTCGTAGGACATAGGACCATCAGCAGGTTCGCGCTTTGGTGCTTGCGAACATGAGGATGGGACATCACAAACGCCGAGCTCTTCAACGAATACCAAACCAGCAGGACAGTACAGGCTGTACGCATTGCCATCAACACACTGAATAAACTCGGCGATGCAACCGAGCGAATGTAGACCATCAGATTTGCCAGCACAATCTGGAAAAAGGACTCTGCATACTTACTGGTTTTCACAGTACGATGAAAGAGTGTTGAGAAAGAAGGAATAGAATTCACCGTTGCGTGATATTAGAGATGTATACGATGTTGGAGCAGCATCAGCAGAACTCTTTAAGACTGGCTCGAGACCGCACTCATGGGAATAAACACAGCGACTCTGCTTCGAGTCGAACACGAGATCTGCTGGGCAATTCATGAAGTAGGCGACTCCAGATGAACAAGTCGTGAACTTCGTGCCACATGGCGATCCGTAACGTCCATCAGGGAGATTGGAGCATTCTGAAGCAGCAGCAACTCCCTCCAGAGAGATCAGCAGCTATAGCTCATATAAAAAAGCTAGAGGAGCGCTCGCACCAACACTCCTTTCTGATACACCTCTCTCTCTCTATCTCCCTCTCTTTCGACTGGACCCTCACAACAATCGCGACGCTCGCGGCTACCTCTCTACCACCCTTCCCCTGCTGCTTTCGGATAAAGACTTCATGTACGTTCAAATACACATAATAATCAATCAGTCGGAACATCAGTAAATGAAATAAAGCTAGAAGTGTTGGGCATTGTACGCGGTTTGCGACACTGACGCCCATGCGCTGGCCGGGCTGATCTGGTGCCTTTAGCAGCGTGCAGACTTCGCGATTACATCGCCGGACATCGACGCACCGTAACTCGGTGTAATGAATTGCACGCGCGTCTACGCGTGGCGAAGCGCCACAGCTGTAACAGCGCTCCAACCTTATGCACACGAACGCAGCCGCAGACGGGAACCGGACGGCACCGGCCGCTTACGTCTGGGGAGAGTATAGCATAAGGCCGCGTTCGTACATGACGACGTTGGGGAAATGACGGAAATTGCGGAAAGGAAATGCATACGTATCGATTTGAAATGCATTTCCGCGGAAATTTTGCAGAAATGCAGAATTACGCGAAAGAATGATAGGGATCGATCGGTTCGTTCCTGCCGTCGCGCGGAATTGGGAGAAATGCAGAATCCGCAGATTCCGCAGTTTCCGCACTTCGGCAAATTCCGCGGAATTTGCAGAAATGCAGAAATACGGACAAAGAAGCGATAGGGATCAATCGGTCCATCGGCATTTCTCCGCACTTCTGCTTCTGCACTATTCCACGGTTATTGATATCGATAGACATATTTTCTTTTTCTGCAAGTTCCGCGGTTCTCCCAACTCCACAGTTCTGCACATTCCATGGTTCTCCATTTCTGCATCATGTATGAACGCGGCTTAAGATATCAGGTGGGAGCAAGCGCTGCCTCCACACACCCATTCTTCGATTCTTTCCCAACGCCTTAGCAGCCAGTGTCGATCGATACCAGAAGCATCCTCTTTCTCAGTACTCTATCAATACATAAGTGCCCGGCGCCAATAGAGACCGTTCTGCGGCTGCGTTTTCGTCTACAGCATTGGGGCGCCATTGCTGTGGGAGTGCATCGCCGCACATCAGCGCGATGCCAAAATACTGTCATGACTGCAGCTTTGTCCTCTCCACGATTCCTCCTTAAATTGAAACTAGCAAAACTGATACATTTCTAACGCTCTTCGTGTTGACGTCGAATTCGTGGGTTTCCCGCCAGAACATTGGGCGACTCTCACAGTCGATACATTCAAGGCCCTTCGCCGTTTCCCTCATTCGTAAGGGTCGCAGACTGCTAACAATGATCAATCAAACATACCAGATGATGCAGATGCAGCAGGAACACTAACGGTGGCTGAGGAAGCTGGAACTGATGCGGTAGTCGATGAAATCGGCTTGTGCATAGTCTCAGATTTGGCCTGGAACTACGGAAATTACAAACCACAGGTCAGATGGTATCTAGCTACCTAGGGCAATGCGTATCAATCCTCCTAAACTCGAAGAGACACAACCAACCTTTTCCGATTTGAAACAGCTTTCTTTCAGATCGCAGTAGCCTTCAGCCTCGTTGTAAACGAGATCTCCTGGGCACTGCATAACCTGAGCAACACCATTGGAACAGATATAAAACTCCGACGAACACCCGCGAGAAAATGCACCATTGGGTTTCGGACATACTGAAAATGGTAATGATAAGGAGAAGGAGACAATTACAGATCAATGAGTGCAAATGATTACCGAATGATGTGACTTGAGCAGCTGAGGTCACGCTGCTTTTCTGCACCTCCACTTCTCTACCAGCACAGTTCTCCGGGTAGTCGCAATAGCCCCTTTCCACATTGAACACCAACGAAGCAGGACACTTCTGCATAAAAACCGATATTGTGGATAATACAGTAACATATTTGAAAGGAAAAATAAGAAGCCCGAAAATAATGGCACAGAGCGGAAATTGAACCCTACCATGAACGTGGCGATACCCTCACTGCAGTGCACGAAATCAGATGAACAACCATTTGAGAAATAACCATCACCACGCCCAGTACAATCGAATGCCCTGGAAAAGTCTCACAGAGAGCAAGATAGGAATGTCAATAAGATCCTAACTGGACCAAAGCCTACATCTGAGACGACGGAACTAAAGCAGGTCCCGGTTGCGATGGAGTGACCTTAACAATCGCTGGAGCAGGAACAGGTCCTGCAGAGCAGCTCTCCACGTAATCGCAGTATCCCTTCCTTTCGTTAAAAACGAGCGAAACAGGGCACGTCTGCAAGGAAAGAGCCTAGCATGATGAAAATTCGGGAAGTCTGGAAGAATCGTACCATAGCGGTGGCCACTCCATCTACGCAATACACAAAGTCTGGAACGCATCCATTGGAATAGTACCCATCTTTCCTACCCTTGCAATCGATAGACCTGAAACAAGGGTATTATTAGGAGCTGAAGGGCAGCATAGCAAATCAAAGACATACAGTTCTTGGACTGGCGGAGAGAATACTGTTTTAGCCGCGGCAGCCGGAACCGGGATGGGGGCAGCTGGAACCGGAGCGGGGACAACTGGAGAAGGCCCTGTTGAGCAGCTTTCTACGTAATCACAATAACCCTTCTTCTCATTGAAGACAAGAGACGTGGGGCAAGTCTGCAAAGGATACAGTACAAAATAATTTCGAGATTGAGGAAGTTCGGTGGAAACGTACCATTGGGGAGGCCACTCCATCCACGCAGTACACGAAGTTAGCGACGCATCCATTGGAGTAGTAACCATCTTTTCTACCTTTACAATCAATGGACCTGAAGAGAGAGAACCTTGAGAAGATGAAGGAAGACACCGTATTCTGCCAAGTACATACGATGACTGGATTGGAGGAGCGTACGCTGCAGCAGGCGATGACGATGCTGGCCCAGGTGGGACCGGGACAGGAGCAGCTGGAAGTGGAGCGGGGACAACTGGAGCAGGTCCTGCAGAACAGTTCTCCACGTAGTCACAAATTCCTTTCTTCTCGTTGAAGACAAGAGACGTAGGGCAAGTCTATGAGGAAACAGAATGAAATCGGAAAATCAGGAAGTTTTGAAAAAAAATACCATGGGGGAGGCTGCTCCATCCACGCAGTAGACAAAGTTGGAGACACATCCATTGGAGTAATAACCATCTTTCCTGCCCTTACAGTCGATGGACCTGAAAGAAGGTACAAATGACACGCTGAAGGGAACTAGGAAGTATAGACGTACGATGATCGGACTGGAGGAGTGAATGCCGGTGCTGATGAAGATGTCGCTGGACCAGCTGGAACCGGAATGGGGCCAGCTGCAGGAGCAGTTCCTGCAGAGCAGTTTTCCACGTAGTCACAATATCCCTTCTTCTCGTTGAAGACGAGCGATGTCGGGCAAGTCTGCAAGGAAATAGTACGGAATCGTAAAAATTCAGGAAATTTGAAAAAAAACGTACCATGGAGGACGCTACTCCATTCACGCAGTACACGAAGTTGGCTACACATCCATTCGAATAGTAACCGTCCTTCCTTCCTTTGCAATCGATCGACCTGGAACGAGGGACCTTTTGAGAAGATGGTGGAAAGGTACCGTAATATGTCAAAGACATACGATGATTGCACCAGTGGAGTGATTACGGCAGCGTGGGCAGACGTCGCTGGAGCACGTACAGCCGCAGTAGTTCCTGCGGCGCAGTTTTCGACGTAGTCCAATAACCCTTCATTTCATTAAAGACGAGTGAAGTCGGGCAAGTCTGTAAAAAGGAACCGTACATATAAACAAATTAAAGGAAATTTTGTGGGGTCTTACCAATTGGGGAGGCCACTCCATCCACGCAGTAACAAAGTTGGAGACGCATCCATTGGAGTAGTAACCATCTTTTTTACCCTTACAATCAATGGACCTGAAGAGAGGGAACAGTTGAAAGTATGAGGGAAAAGCAATTGTGGCAAACACATACGATGACTGGACTGGAGGACTGAATACCACTGCTTGTGAAGACGTCGCTGGACGAGCGGGAACTGAGATAGGGGCAGCTGGAGCCGGGGCGGTGACAACTGGAGCAGATCTTGCTGAACAGTTCTCTACGTAGTCACAATAGCCCTTCTTCTCGTTGAAGACGAGAGACGTCGGGCAAGTCTGCAAAGAAATAGCACGGAACCGTGAAAATTCAGGAAATCTGGAAAAAAACGTACCATGGGGGACGCTACTCCATTCACGCAGTACACGAAGTTGGCTACACATCCATTCGAATAGTAACCATCCTTCCTTCCTTTGCAATCAATCGACCTGGAACGAGGGTCCTTCTGAGAAGATGGTGGAAAGGTACCGTAATATGTCAAAGACATACGATGATTGCACCAGTGGAGTGATTACGGCAGCGTGGGCAGACGTCGCTGGAGCAGCTGCGGCAGCGATGGGCACAGCTGGAGCCGGAGCCGGGACAGCTGGAGCAGGTCCTACGGAGCAGTTCTCTACGTAGTCGCAGTACCCCTTCTTCTCGTTGAAGACAAGCGAAGTCGGGCAAGTCTATAGAAGAAAAAGTACCAAATAATTTCACAGTACCATATAATTGCCTCCAAAGAAGTTCTCGGGAATCCTACCATCGGGGAGGCCACTCCATCGACACAGGACACAAAGGTGGCGACACATCCCTTAGAATAGTAGCCGTCCTTCCTTCCCTTGCAATCGATGGGCCTGAAACAACAAGAAATAACTCGAAAAGATGAGTAAAAGGTACACTGTTATGCCAACGACATACGATGACTGGATTAAAGAAGCGTACGCCACAGCAGGCGAAGGCATAACAGGAGCTGCTGGGGCCGGTGCGGGGACAACCGGAGCATCTCGTGATGAGCAGTTTTCTACGTAGTCACAGTATCCCTTCTTCTGGTTGAAGACGAGCGAAGTCGGGCAAGTCTACAAGGAAAAAGCTATGAATCATAAAAATTCAAAAAGTTCTGAATAGTCCTACCATCGGGGAGGCCACTCCATCTACGCAGGACACAAAGCTGGCGACACATCCGTTAGAGTAGTAACCATCTTTCCTTCCCTTGCAATCAATGGACCTGAAGAGAGGGAACTTCTGAGAAGATGAGGGAAGGGTACCGTAATTCTTCAAAGACGTACGACGACTGCACTACTGGAGCGACTGCCGCAACGTGAGAAGAGGATGCTGAAGCAGCTGGCATTGGGATGGGCGCAGCTATAATCGGAACAGGTCCTGCCGAGCAACTCTCTATGTAGTCACAGTACCCCTTCTTCTCATTGAAGACTAGAGAGGTTGGACAAGTCTGCAAAGAAGGCATCAGCGAGTAAGTATATAATTCAAAGACGGCGTCCGCGACTTCACCTCATTGGTGGCGGGATTTCGCCATAATAAGATTCTAGAGGGGAGCAGAATGGCCTGTGAGCAGGGGTTTTTCAGAAGCTAGTTTTCCTCCGAAGGAGACATGAAATTATTCTATGATGCTGTAGAAAACCATTGAGATAATCAACCGTTTTGTGCATGTGGTACTCGCTTTATGCACCCTCCCATTTGCACTTGTGGGAGAGGTTTATTCGAAAAGAAGCAAGCGAAGGGTTCAGGGCGCCCTCATCTCGCCCTTTCACTTGAAAAAGTGATACATTCCCTGCTATTGTGGAACTGCCTACCAAACACGCAGGGGCGCTCTTCTAATTGGATGGTCACGGGAAAAGTCTTTGAGTACGTTTCAAGAATTCTTACCATGGGGGACGCCACTCCATCGAGGCAGTACACAAAGTCGGAGACGCATCCGTTTGAGTAAAAACCGTCTTTTCTACCCTTACAGTCAATGGACCTAAAACGTGGGATCACCTGGGAAGATGAGAAAGAGCACCAAAATGTCTCAAAGACATACGATGACTGGACCGCAGTAGCAAATGCCACAGCGTGTGAAGACGTCAGTGCGGCAGGTGGAACCGAGATAGGGGCAGCTGGAGCCGGAGCGGTGCCAACTGAAGCAGGTCCTGCAGAACACTTCTCAACGTAATCACAGTATCCCTTCTTCTCGTTGAAGACAAGTGAAGTCGGGCAAGTCTGTAAAGAAAATACAACCAAATAATTGGGTTCAAGGAAGTTCTGCAGAATCGTACCATTGGAGAGGCTACTCCATCTACGCAGTACACGAAGTCTGGCACGCATCCATTAGAGTAGTAGCCATCTTTCCTACCCTTACAATCAATGAGCCTGAACTGAGGGACCACTTGAGAAGACGAGCAAAGGGCACCAGACAAGTGAAATACATACGATGACTGGATTAAAGAAGCGTACGCCGCAGCAGGCGATGGCATAACTGGAGCTGGTGGGCTGGTGCGGGACACCCGGAGCATCTCCTGATGAGGCAGTTTTCTACGTAGTCACAGTATCCCTTCTTCTGGTTGAAGACAAGCGAAGTCGGGCAAGTCTACAAGGAAAAAGCTATGAATTCATAAAAATTCAGGAAGTTTAAATAGTCCTACCATCGAGGAGGCTACTCCATCAACGCAGTACACAAAGTTGGCAACACATCCGTTAGAGTAGTAACCATCCTTTCTACCCTTGCAATCAACAGACCTGAAATAAGGGACCTCACTAAAGCTGAATGGTACCATACTAGGTCAACGCCATACGATGATTGTACTGGTGGAGGGAATGCTACGTGAGAAGACGTGGCTGATGCTGCTGGAGCAGGGATGGGTGCCGCTGGGGCCGGAGCGGGGACAGCTTCGGCAGGTCTTACAGAGCAGTTTTCCACGTAGTCACAGTATCCTTTCATCTCATTAAAGACGAGCGAAGTCGGGCAAGTCTGTAAAGAGAACAGTACAACAATTAAGGCTAATGAATTTCTGTGAATCCCACCATAGGAGAGGCCACTCCATCTGCGCAGTACACAAAATCTGGAACGCATCCATTGGAATAGTAACCATCCTTCCTTCCTTTGCAATCGATGGACCTGAAATGAGAGACCACTAGAGAAGATCAGGAAAAGGTAAGAAAGTAGGGCTGTGTTCTCACTTGGTGAGTCAAGAGAATAACCACGCTCTTTTGCTGATCGTCAAACTGCTGCAAGCCAAATCAGAATGTAGTTAAACTTGCGCCGGTCCAACGATCAGCGGTGGAGCGCGCGAAGTATGAACACGGCCTGACGTAATAAAACAAAGACATACGATGACCGGACTGGAGGAGCGTACGCTGCAGCAGGCGAGGACATTACTGGCGTCGCTGGAGCCAGAGCGGGGACAACCGGAACGGGGCCTGCTGAGCAGTTTTCCACGTAGTCACAATAACCACTCTTTTCGTTGAAGACGAGTGAGGTCGGGCAAGTCTAAGAAGGGAACAGTACCAAATAACACTGAGATTGAGGAGTTCAGCTAAAACCTACCATTGGGGAGGCTACTCCATCTACGCAATACACGAAGTCTGGAACACAACCATTAGAGTAGTAGCCATCTTTCCTACCCTTACAATCAATGAGCCTGAAGTGAGCGACCACTTGAGGAGACGAGCAAAGGGACCACATAAAGTCAAAAACATACGCTGAGTGGACTGAATTTCTGAATGACACTGCTTGCGAAAACGTCGCTGGACCAGCTGGAACTGGGATAGGGCCAGTTGTAGCCGTAGCGGGGGCAACTACAGCAGGTCCTACGGAGCAGTTCTCCACGTAATCACAGTATCCCTTCTTCTCGTTGAAGACGAGCGATGTCGGGCAAGTCTGCAAAGAATACAGTACCATAAAATTTCGTTCCAAAAAATTCTCGGGAATACTACCATCGGAGATGCCACCCCATCTACGCAGTACACAAAGTCTGCAACGCATCCATTGGAGTAGTAACCGTCCTTCCTTTCCTTGCAGTCAATGGACCTAAAACATAGGATCACTTGAAATGATAAAGAATGGGAACCACAAATCAAAGACATACGATGATTGGACTGGAGGAGCGTAAGCTGCAGCAGGCGAAGACCCTACTGGGGCTGCTGGAGCCAGAGCCGGAGCGGGGACAACCGCAGGTTCTGCAGAGCAGTTCTCCACGTAGTCACAGAATCCTTTCTTCTCGTTGAAAACAAGCGATGTTGGGCAAGTCTAAATCAACAAAATCATATCCCACCAGAGTTTTCATGGTCATATTTTCCATACCATTGGAGAAGCCACACCATCGAGGCAGTACACGAACTCGGCTGAGCATCCATTCGAGTAATAGCCATCCTTCTTTCCTTTGCAATCGATGGGTCTGAAAGTGAAAGTAGTTACTTCTACAACTATGAACGAGCCAATCTCAAGTGCCAGATACACACGATGGTAGAACGGGTACAGCATCGTCTGAAGCAAAAGATGATTGCGCCGGAACATCTGGAACCGAAATAGAAGCTGGTGGAGCAGGTCCTGTGGAGCAGTTTTCAGGATAGTCACAATAACCTTCCTTCTCGTTGAACAGTAAACCAGAAGGGCATCTCTGCAACAGATGAGCCGTTTGTGAGTGAAAGGTCACTGTAAGGAAGGGAAAAATGTACCATAGGAGTAGCAACTCCTTGCTCACATGAGATAAAGTCGACGGAGCATTTCTCGGCATAGAACCCATCCTTCCTCATCGCGCAGAACGAGGACCTCAAATTGAACAAATTATAGCCCCTTCAAATGTTTCATCAGAGCAGATAACTCACGAAACAGATTTCGTCTGGTCAGTAGAAGGGTGCTGCTGTTGCGCCTGGCTAGGTGCGGACTGGTGTGATTGAGCATTCATGGCATTGTCCGAAAAACAGTCCTCTGGATAATCACAATATCCCTTCGCCATGTTGAATAACAACGAGATGGGCACTTCTGAAATTTCCATTCGTTCAAGGAATAAGATGCTAATAAAAATTCCATTCATACCATTGGCTGAGCGATTCCACCGGTTGCAGTACACAAAATCGCGACGAAACAGCTAAAACACGTAGTAGCCATCTGCCGCGCGAAGAACAATCGAATGAGCTGTAACGCTGCAACTTTATGTGACCATACTTTCACATGTTACATGCCGCCTAGTCTGTCGTGGAGGCTCATAAGGTTGCGTTCATACTTTTGCGTAAGCGTTCTGAGCCTACGGCAGCATCCTGAGATGTTTCGAGCGATTAGGAAGCCCGTGTTCCATCGACTAACCGTCGAAGCCTCCAACCTGACAAACCGCAATGCAAGCCTCAAATGCTGCAGTTCGCTGAACGCTCCCGATCAATATCCACACTTTCTCAGCGATTCAAACCGATGCAGGCGCTGGCGCATGCTTGATCGATACCTATACATTCTATCGCTCTAAAATTTCAAAGACGCCGGCGCGTCCTGCGTGCGCTCGTAACGCTCTAAGCCCTGCAGTACGCTCAAAACGCTGACGCAAAGTATGGACCTTGTTATACCTATCGATTTCGCCGGACTGCACATCAAAAAAGGTCCTGCCAGTGCACACTAGTAGCGTAACAACAAATAAGCCATAATACCTTTCACCAGACCAAAGCGCACTACACTCTGGAAACGTTCGCCACAGCGTACGCAATTTTCCAGTATCGTGCCAAAAACTTCACCGGCAGCGCATTCAGCTAGCTGTGTAAACTCCATCCGCACAGAATGCGTACTAGAGTGAACAATATCAATAGATAAAAATAAGAATGTGAAAAAATAAGGATTGAGATGAAAAAGATACAATGCTCAAAAACGAG